AAGGAAACAACGTTTCAACTATTTTGTGAAATATATTGTGAAAAATTAACAATTAAAATAACTTGACTCATTTTCTGTAAGAATATTTGATATGATGCAACCTTGATATGATCAAAGAAACAACGCTCATATTTAATATGTGTAACTTGATCTGTCGGCTCTGTGGCTAGGTCGATGCGAACGCTTCGTAATGCCAGGGTGTCGGGTTCAATCCCAGCTGCGGGCCATGCGCCATGCGTTGGTTTTGACAGTGGTATCAGGGGCTGACCGTTAAGAAAGCAATGGCAAACTACTGGACGTAAATTTACCTAGAGAAACCACACAACAGCCAGGGGCTGATAGGGTTAGTTATGCAACGTCCTGTAAAGGATACGCAACTAACCTTAACTTGATCTATCAGGGAAAATTAGCATAATTGTTTCGCCAAAGTAAATATTTTCGCTGGCACCTTCCATCCTTCCAGACTATATTGTTATACTTTGCTAGACGGAGAACTGCCAATCGTAGTTCATTTCGACGGTGATGGTGGCTAGCAAGTCCTGATCACGTTTAAACAAAAATTTTCACAATGAGTGCTTGACATTTCATGACCATTGTTATTCTTATCATTGTAAATAAATTTGTTTGTCTTTGTTTGTCAAATGAGACCACACAGATAATTATTAAGAGATCATCTTAAACCCAGGACTTTCAGCACTTGAGGCAGACGCCATGCCTCCAGACATATTAATGAACAATGCATCTAATCTTCAGTGATAAGTATAAGTATTCGGCATAAATTATTAAAAAATGACACTAAATATAAAACTGATAGATGCTTTGCTGCAGTGTATTGACGACATATCAAGTATTATACGCCAAGATCTCTGCTAATGAAAAGCTGTAACCATAGTAGAAATATTCAGTGCAACCAACCAACCACAACTACCATTTTAGTTCACATTCCATGTGCAGTTTCTCTAGAAGGGGAAGTAGCGACCACGAGCGAAAACCCCTTATGTTCAAAATAAGTTAATGAGTGCGGATGTGCAAGAAAGATCACGCGTTACATGGAAATCTAAACTGTTTATTGACTGGTCACTTGATAAGAGAAGCTGAGCTTTGATGACACATTTCCACGTGCGCCTTTCATCTCACGAGGACACAGTAGACAATTTGGGCCGGGGAGGGAGGGGGCGAGGGACGAACTAGCAGTAAGTGTAGTAGTAGTAGTGATAGTGTTGGGTGGTTGTGGTGATGATGCAGTTGGTGGTGGTGGTGTTGGCGGTTGTGGTTTAAAACAGTAGCAATGAAAAAAAAAATTGCTTGAAAAAAGTGTTTACTGCTGCCCATAGGCTAAAAAGAAAAGAAAGTCCTGACACTCGTCATTTCCAGTAATTTTGGTGTCTTCTTTGCAAAGTTTATTTTGTTGTAAATACACCTAGAGGTTGTTTTGTTAGCAATGTATTCTGTTTTCTTCAGGCAGGGTGTGGACAAAGAATGCAATGAGTGATAGGAGCAACTTTTATTTGAAAAACAAACCTTAAAGTTCAAAAGAACATGTAACATCTGCAATGGTTCTAAGTAAATTTGCCAAATACAAGAGTATATTTTTCCTTGAGTAGTGCTTTGAAATTATATGTCTCCTGCTTCTTCTTTATTTGTTTGCTTCAAATGTAATGTTGTCTCTAGTATGAATTTCACTGTTTGTTGTAATTTAGTCCGCAAGCCTTAAAATTTGGTTTGCACCGTTGTGTGAAATAAAAAAAACAACGAAGTCAGTAAGAACGGAAATTTTGTGATATGCTTAATTAATTCCCTGTATTTCCTTGCATCAGAGAAGCTTTCATTTAGAGGGTTTCATGAAACTCGGAGCAATCGAAGAAACTATGTAGAACTGTTGCATTTGTTGGCGTAAAAGACTGAATGCTTAGCTAATTCGTTAGAGTCAAAAATAAGTTTTTCAAACATTTCAAAATGACAAGAAAAAAGGTCTCATTGATTAGATTGCTAAAGTAATGCACAAAGATATCGTACAGGAAGTAGAGAAGTCACCATTTGTTGCCATTATTATAGATGAGGCAGTAAACATTTCCAATCAGTCTCAACTGTATTGAAGTATGTATCATTTAATGGTTTTAAAGAAATCACTAATTCGTTTACAAGCTTGTTAGTGAGCCATTGGGTGTATTCTTTTTCCCCTATAGGCCCCAGAACCCACATGGGGATAGCGCTAAAGCTGTGGATAAAATTCTCAAATGACATTTCAGTTCTGTTTCTCATGTTAGAGTGCAATATTAAAGCAGACTGACTGAGCTTGTATCTACATGTAACGCAGAATGTGAAGATTGCTTCAATACATGTAAAACAACACCAAAGAAGTGGACGGTGACAACTCGAGTATAAGCAAAAGGATTTTGTTACATAATTCATTCATGAGCCATTGGTGTAAATAAGGTCCCTAATTTATTTATTACGTCCACGAAATGGGCTTTAAAAAATGCAATTAGCAATTTGCTAAAACTCAAAAGTATCACCATACAGCGAGCTAACGAGCGCGTAGTATCCCGGGAACCGATCATTAGCCGTGCCTGCGACGACTAACGGTACTGAGCAGAGAAAGGCAATATATCGATTATGTGTACGTACACACACACACACACACACACACACACACATATATATATATATATATATATATATATATATATATATTGTAATGATGTTATGCCAATCATCCCCTGACATTATCCCTATTTATAACATATATATATATATATATATATATATATATATATATATATATATATATATATATATATATATATATATATATATATAAAATGATTAACCTTCATGGGCAAAGCAACAACAACAAACAAAACAAAACACCCACACAAAATAATTTCACAGAAATGACTACATTGCGGCATTTAAATAATATGCAAACAAATAAACAGAAATAATTGTAATAATAATAATAAATGACACAACTGTGGTAAATTGGGTGACAAGCTTGTCTGTATGTTCGGTGGTCATATATTCAAATCCCTGTAAAAAAAAATTTACCTAAGGCTCTCAGGTCAACTGGGCCTAACGTAGATCCTAGAAATGTTTTGGGAAGTAACGGGGTCCTGTGTAACATTGAATGTGTCAATCCTCAAGTGCCTAGCTACACATTCTGAGAGAACCGCCATATACTCAAAACTTCTCGAGACGTGCGAAAGAGTCTTGTTGCTTTACTTGATCAAAAGACTCAAAGTAATCTTCTTCTTCTTCTTCTCCTTCTTCTTCTTCTTCTTCTTCTTCTTCTTCTTCTTCTTCTTCTTCTTCTTCTTCTTCTTCTCTTCTTCTTCTTCTTCTTCTTCTTCTTCTTCTTCTTCTTCTTCTTCTTCTTCTTCTTCTTCTTCTTCTTCTTCTTCTTCTTCTTCTTCTTCTCTTCCACCTTGTACCTCATCGAAGTGTCGGGGGGAGATGTAATGTACGTTGATGAGCTCTGTCAAAAGCACTATTAAGACTGATGTTCATTTCTTTAAGGCTGTTCTTAATGCCATCACTCAATATTTTCCGAGGTCTTCCACTCGCTCTACACCCGTTGTAACGTTTTAGTGTGGCTCGCTATGGCAGATAGTACCAGGGCATTCTTGTTAGGTGTCCAAACCACTTCATTTGTTGTTCTTTGATGACCTGTAAGACTGGCTTTATTCGTAGCATTCCTCAAAGTAATCATGACTTGGATTCCTAAGTGGAAAGCATTGAACCAGTTCAACTCCCCTCTCCCCACCCAGCCCCTACTTCCTTCGTTATCCAACACCGCTCTAAAGAGTGGTAGTATCATCAGTAAAGGCAGTTGCAAGAATTAATTATTAATAACAATGCTCAAGCGATAATTTCTCATCATATTTATTTCTTTGAGAAATCGTGCAATCTACGCATCAAACATCTACAGCTTCAAGGCGAAGCAATTTATAAAATACCAGATGGAATATAAAAGTAGTCGTTCACGATTTAGCGTTATCTGACTAGAAATCTAACGGATTAACCTTATCAGTACCAGACAATTTTGCTCTAAGTAATTACATCCGAAATGATTGCTACCCTAAACCAGTAACAGTGGCTTCTAAAGACGCTCAAATCTGGACAGAAAACGTTTGTGTAACATCTGGGATTGGATGAGATTAATGTAATAACTGGATAAGATCCAACGAGTATTGAAGATTATATTCGCCCTTGAGTTTCGAGGCCAGATTTTGTTTAGAGGTATAGATCTTCTGCCCTTTAGCCATCATGTTGTAAATGCTGACTAATTAACGGTGTGCTGGAATCGAAAGCTTTGGGTCGAAAAGCGTAGATATCCCAGCCTAGCTGTAAATCACAACATAACGTTTAAACCGCCCAATTAAGGGGGAACGTCAAAGACGGAGGTGGAGGGTAAGAAGAAAAAGAAGAAAAAGAAAGAAGAAGAAGAAGAAGAATATTGAATTAGGAATTGACATCACGGCAATCGGGACACTCCCATAAGCGCTCAGAGGCCATCTTCAGCAGCAAGCGAAGAGTTCCAATTACGATGGTACCAGTAACCGTCTGATTGTATGTCCGTCTCATTCTTCCCCTGAGTGTTAAGCGTCGGCCAGATCCACTTGTAACTCCTTACAGCGCCATTCTATTTAGACCGTAATGATCTATCTGCGCCTCCGCACTGTTAGCAGAAGAAGAAGAAGAAGATGATGATAAAGAAGAAGAAGAAGAAGAAGAAGAAGAAGAAGAAGAAGAAGAAGAAGAAGAAGAAGAAGAAGAAAAAGAAGAAGAAGAAAAGAAGAAGAAGAAGAAGAAGAAGAAGAAGAAGAAGAAGAAGAAGAAGAAGAAGAAGAAGAAGAAGAAGAAGAAGAAGAAGAAGAAGAAGAAGAAGAAGAAGAAGAAGAAGAAGAAGAAGAAGATATAATGCAAGAAGAAACGAATAAACACATCATCAATCACTTGGTACTAACAAGGTAAACGAAAGCGTTATTTTCCAGCTGGGTTTATTTAGCATTTCCTTTGACACATTTGATGTCGTATGTGTAGCCGGGTCTTGGCGGTGGCGGCTTTCTCTTTACGATAATCTGAGTGTCATTCAGAGGAACCTCCACGGCAACGCAAGAATATCCAGGAAAGCAGCTACAGAAACCGTTGATTTTCCCGTACATATCGCACGGCTCACCTTCCTGTATGTACCGCTGGCACGTTCCGGACTCTGCGCGTTTGCTGACCACCATAAATTCACTGAGGATTTGACAACACTCTTCATCCCCACACTCGATGTCGGAAGCACACGCTTTTCCTTCTTCTGCCTGAAAGAATATACGCGTTAGCAGAATACACTAACGGCTTCCTAGTATAGTATCGTAAGTAAAACAATGTATGCCAGATTAAATAAGGTATAGCCCCAACAAAGAAATGCCGAATTTGAAGTCAAATTTGATTTTTGTTTGTTTCGTAAATGATAACTTTCACTGGGCAGTTATTCATTCGTTATTCTGTTGTGCTATTATATACCATGTAGGGCTCGTTTTATCATGTGCAATCAATTCAATATCCTAGATGGAGCTTTGGCCTTTCTCATCAAAGTTTATTTTAGCATTTTTTCGCCTCCTCAGTTCCCTTTTTTTTTCAGTTCATTGTCTGTTTCGTGATTCTATGCTGGCTTTTTTTCAGGAAAAATGTATGCAAAAATATTCTTCACATAAATACGAGTGACGGCAGTGAAAATGATATATACAATACAAACTAAGACATCTATCAACAGCACCATTTAAAAAAACCAGCAACAAACATCCTTTCCACAGCTCGCTCTTTTATGAATCATTACTAACCATATTTTGCATTTTTTTTAAAAAGTGTTTCTGATTTTTAATACATATACTGATTTGATAACAAAACTACTGACTTCATAATAAATCCATAATGTCTTTTGACTAGAAGCCATGAGGAAAAAGAAATATAGGAAGACGTGCAAACACGGAGGAAGGGAGATGGCGACTGAGTTTAAAAAACAAAGAACTTAGATTACTGAGATAGTAAAATATAGGAAAAGGTAACCTAAGTTTGTCTAACTTCTGCATATCTTACAAGATAAGGAGCAAGGACTGTGGTGTGAACCCCTGGTTAGCTAATTGGATGGGGAGGATTGAGGGAAAGGAGGAGAAGAAGAAGAAGAAGTTGATGACAATGATGAAGATCAGATCCATGATATGCATTACGCCAAAGAATAAGTGGTCCCACGCAGTATTGATCGACACTGTCACCTGTCTTGTTTAACATTTCTATACAAAAGTCTGAGCAAAATCTCAGCCCACTAAACCACATCTATCTTTGACATTTCCAGATGATGTCCTAGGGATCTCTCGCAGCTCAGCAGACAGGAACGACCTGACTAAAATACATTTGCAAAGTGCTTTGCAAAAGATGTAGTGGTGGGAACAGACATGTTCAAGGGGAAAACCCAGAGAAGGCTAACGTGTTTTGATGGGCATCTTTGAATCAACAGCAACAAGGAAGACTTGCTGGGACGTTCGCATATGAAGGGTATGAAGGATTGAAAGAAAGCAAGAAAAGTTGAAACAGCTGTCGCGATGTTGATCGTAGTCTGTCCTACAGATATCCCGTAGAGCAGACTGTGGTCAAGCGCAAGCGTGGTCTGGGCGCACTGAAGACGATGTTGGCGACACACATAGAACCGAGATTACTGGTCTTAGTGTTCGTCCATTTGGTCCTTTCTTTAATCCATTATGGCCTAAGAATGTTAACCCTATCTACTTCACAGTGCACACAGCTTGAAATGATAAAAAATTAAGGAATGATAATCGTCTTGGGTTGCACACGTGACACCCCAGTTAGAACAATGAGGTATAAGTTTGGGCTGACATCGGTAAGCTCTAGACTGTCACTGGCGCAAGCCAACACCTATATGCAAGTTACAAAGCGGGTCGACAGGCATCCGCATGACATGGTATTTGAAAGATTTTAAGCATGAGAAAACGGAAAAGAGGAAAGTCATGAATGGCACTAGATGAAAACACCATCGAGACGGTGGCCTCTGTCAAGCTAACACACAAGGAACAGAAATGAATTGACACGAACACCCACAACAGCAGTTTCCATGAAGGTCATTATTGTTGAAGGAAGAGAGAAGTTGAAATACTTAGGTCACGGTAAGTCAGAATTCGTAGTACAACCTACAGATAGTCAGAAAGGCTGGACTAGATGATGCAGTAGTGTACATCGATGGTTCTGTTCGGGGGTGTAGACACGATCTGGCTGGCGACACACAGCTAGAATAAAGAGAAAAGGTCTGTGGCAGAACAAAACGGTCCTTTTTTATTCACATCTTAAGAATGAGAATGGAAGTGGACTTCGAGTCACACAGCTCTGAAATGGATAGCAGAAAACAAAGTTACCAGAGGAATAATTGTGTCTGATTTGCAGTCGGCACACCCCAGTTTAAAATGAGGTAATGTTTGGGCTGACATCGGATACAGCTCAGTACGTCAACGTTGTAGAAAATCAAGGCCTATACGAGTTCCGAAATGACGAAAGATCCGCGCAGGGTAATGAAAACGATTTTCTGGCTACAAAAGCGAAAAGAGGGAAGTCATGGATGGGACTAGGGAAAACACCATGAAGACGGCGGCCCTATGAACAAGCTTTTGGCAGAAGGAACAGAGATTAATTGACATAAACACTCACAAGCAGCAGTTTGAACAGGAAATTATCACGTTAGGAAGAGGCAAGACAGGGACGGGTGTCAGAGTAAGTCAGTTAGAAACTACAACAACGTGATTGATAGCGGGAACGGAGGATCTATGTGTATCCAGTAGTGCTATGATGATGGTTTCTGTTCAATCAGGGTGTAAATTTGGCTGGGGATGTTTAGCTGGAGAAAATAAATAAAGGGTGAAGCTGGAACACACAGAGAAGAGAGTTAAAAACAAACAGCTGAAAATGCATAGTCCATTGATTAACATAGGCAGTATGAAAAAGAGTCGGATGAAATTCCTCTGGTCTATACTTTGTGTCTGTTACCACGGTCAGAAAAGAAGTTTGCTGCATGTTTAAAATGGATAAGACTTAACCCTCTAACACATTGTAAACTGGTATGGGTCGCTTGTTTAAGTGCCTAATAATTATAGTAATATGCTGAATAACACAAATATAATAATATATTGGAAATAAGTACAAGAGTACTTATTTATATACGTGGGGGTCGCTGTGTTGTAGCAGCTAGATGCTCGTCTGCATATCCGGATGTCGTGGGTTCAAGTCCTGATGGAGTCTGACATTTAAAAAACAAAATGACCGTGGCTCCTAGGTCGACCCTGCCTTAAATGGGTACAAGGTAAAGTCATGGTATGTAAAGGCGGCCGGCGTGATGTTGACCGATTGAACTATTGAGTATAGGTCTAGCACTATATGTCCAATACGACTGAAGGTGTGGAAAATTGTTTTTTACTACACCCGCTTGCCTACTTAGCCTTTGATTAGCCCTTCTTCTTCTTCTGCCTTTCTATCCCCCATCAACCAACTCACGAAAAGTCGTTCTATCCTTCGCCATTGCATAGAGCTCTCCTTATATTCTCCCCATCTTTCTAACTTTATTCTCCAGCTCTCTTCTCAATGCGTTTTTTGGCCTTCCTTTATTCCTATGCCCCTGTGGTTGATTAGCCCTCTTTCAAATTTATTGAAAACTCTCTAATTTTTGGAGGGGGAGAAGGATTTCTTAAATGTACTTAATCATCTACGTCATTACACCCTGTATGGGGCTATCTAGAATCTAGAGCGTAACTAACAGAACAAGAAAGGGAACAACAAAACAAACAGCTGAACGACCAAGCAGCCAGGAACACAAATAACTGACAGTATTGTACATTGAATACTGCATTGAATGTAATCACTGAAAATACCAGTGAAATGCACGATGACAGTACTATTATAGATTCTTCCAGTACACTGTTATTTGATCCTCCCATATTGTTACGATCTGATGTCAGAGTTGGTTTCAATATTTCACGTTCATTAATTCCCTGTTGTTGTTATCAAACGTGTAATCTATATCTGTTGACATGTGTCTAAGGATTGTAAAATGTCTGATCTGTTAAGCGAAATCCACGTTAATATTAGGAATCACTAGATATCCTTTAAATAATGGTTGAGTAACAGTGGCTGTCTTCAGAAGAAAAAAAAAATCGTTTTCTTGTCTCGTTTAGTGACAAACTAAGTAAAGCTGTTAAAAAAGAAACTTTTCATCGTCTCAAGATAATAATAACTATTTCAGACCCAAGAAGTGAGGAGATTAATGTATTCCATCTCAGACAGCTGTACTTCAAAGTAATAAATACTTCGGTCTGAATTGAACCTAAAAATACCGTAGGAATTCTTCATCTTCTTCTATTCCTTCTTCTGTGTTTTCTTCTTCTTCTTCTTCTTCTTCTTCTTCTTCTTCTTCTTCTTCTTCTTCTTCTTCTTCTTCTTCTTCTTCTTCTTCTTCTTCTTCTTCTTCTTCTTCTTCTTCTTCTTCTTCTTCTTCTCTTCTTCTTCTTCTTCTTCTTCTTCTTCTTCTCTCTTCTTCTTCTTCTTCTTCTTCTTCTTCTTCTTCTTCTTCTTCTTCTTCTTCTTCTTCTTCTTCTTCTTCTTCTTCTTTTTCCTCTCCTTCTTCTTCTTCTTTGTTCACCGTCTGCATGCCTCGGTGGAAAGTCCTGTTTGTTCATCCATTTAGACTTTAGGTTTGGGCAAGGGCCTGAGTTTTGCGTGTACATTCGTTTTACTGGCTTATGTGTGTGCAGTTTGTTGTTCCATGTCGTACGGGAGATACACTTAGACTTCGAAAGAAGGCCTCAAATAATTGACTCCTACGACATGCTTGCTGGAGAGGCAACGGATCTATTCTTGTTTTTCCCTACAATGCGGCCCAGGAACCAGCACTGGAAATATTGTGGGACTCAAGTAGTTAAACTAGTAAGTCAGATACACAAGATTACTATAATACCTGCAAGTGATAGAAGATAAAGAGAAAACTAGTTATCATGCTATGATTCAGAAACGAATAGGAAGCCATTTGTTACTGAAAGAGTCAACAAAAAGGTCAATTCCAAATACAGAAACCTGTTCATATCAATGACGCTTGAGGAATGTAGTGCTAACAGGCCATTCGACACTGGATGGGTGATGTGGTCAACAAAACGCCGGCCCGCCTCCCCCCCCCCCCCTTCCCCCCTTTCTTAATGACAGTTTCTTTACCCAACTTTAGGCTTGGTTAACCTGTTGGTCAAGTGCAATTCATTACTTAAGCAAAAGC